TTTATGAGTTCTCAACATGGACCCAGCCCCAAAGCAACCCGCAAGTGGCTGTTTCAAAGAAAAGAAATGGAAGCCGCCTTTTTGAGGAGTACCCCGCCATTTGAATGTCAATCTGGTTTGGTATCAGTTTTTTCTTCCAGGCGCCCCTCGTTCCTCCTTCCCGTCGAGTCGCAACCAGCAAAAGACAGTCAAAGGCAGTTTTCTGAGTCCTCCAAAGACTCGCATCGGCGCGGAGATGCGTGCTTGCCAGGGCAGTGTTTGATCACCTCACCCGAACGGCGTAAACCAGGCTGTTGTTTTTCTCCAAAGGGCAATATTATTTTCAGCATTCGATCTAGATTGGGCCACTTCAGCACTAGCCATGCCTTGCGGCAATGAAAAAGGGGACACATGTTGACACATGTTGACAAGTTTTGTTCAAAACACGCATTTACGGTCAGATCGTCAACAACTTCATAACAGACTGTAATATGTTGGCGAAACAAATGTAAACAACAATTGGAAGACCCTTCAAAAGAAATGCCGGACCCATACCTCGTGGCTCTGAAGGTTGCATCTTCAGTCAGGAAGTCAACCCGAAGCTGAAGCGAGAGTTACATAAGTCTTGGAGTTACTTCCTCGGATCTCGCACTCACACGGCCGATCTTTGACGATCGATCTGATCCCATCCGGAAGTTTTTCGGCGGCTCTTCGCTCTTCGCTCCAATGGGTGGCTTTCGGTTGCGGATGTTTCGCATTTCGCTCGCGCCCAGTTCGCCTTTTTGCTTTCCTACGCCGTGAAGTTTCTGGGTGCGGGCCCCAGCTCTCCGCGCGGCTTCGCGAGCGTTCCGTTCGGTTTCTCTCGGCTTATCATCGGCGCGGTTCCAGTTTCCTGGAAGTCCGCACGACACCAACGTCCGGACAAAAATCGCGGGTTCCGCTTTGGCTGATCCCGAGTTCTAGCTGCATGCCCTTGAGGCCCTCTTATAGCAATTAACCAAACACTTGTGCACTTTGGCCGGTTGCAAACCACCTTGAGTTTACCCTCACTCCAATTGAGTGTTTGCAAATAGGGATCCCGTAACATGGCGTTCCCCTCCCCCCCTCCCCCCGCCCGTTGGCTTCCCTTGATTTCCATGATGTCCATGATGTCCATAGTCCCGAGTTTTGGTTGTGCACGGTTTGAAGTGCTGGTTAAAACTCTTGGACTTTCCGTTTGCTGGAGCTGGGCATTAATTGGCCATCTTCCAAAAGCTCAGTTGCCCGAGGCCGACCTGTCGAACATGGAGCCCCCCAGTTTTGAGAACAAGTTTAGCAGCTCAGCTTGTTTTAAGCAAATGACACACGTGACCCACGCGTTTGTGTCAAGACTTGCTGCCTTTACCCTGCAAATTCACAAGAGGGTCCTTGTCCTTCTTTTCTTTGAGTGCATTTGGAGCATGCCTCGTGTTGCTTGACCCAGCTTTCAGGATGATGGCACAGATTTTCCGTGAGCCCTGAAGTCCGCTCGGTCCACAGACCATTTGGCCAATGTGAACAAGGCACAAGCACGTGGCAAGTTGCGACCGCTCGAAGTCACCGGGCCAAAGGGTTGCAAAAGCTGCCAAAGTGGCGGAGAAAAAAACCTGTTTCCGCGGTGTCATCGCGGGCGGAAGCGCCTTACCGACGCGCCCTTGGGGGCGTATCGGTCCTTCAGCACTTGCCCGGCTAAAAGAGCAGTGTCAGTTGGGCTGCAGTGCGGTCCAGAACGGCAGCCGACGCTGCAGAGGAGGCAGGGTTTCCTATTGCCATCCCTTTGCAACAGCGACCAAACAGGGATCCCATGTTTGGAACACCCCTCAAGTGAGTTTCTGGGTGAAGTACTGCCCCGGCAGTGGGCACAACCGACCGACAGACCTGCAAATGTATTCCCGGGATACCTTGTAGGAATGATGGTCAATCTTTATGTGGGGGTTGATCAGAAGACATGGGATGACCATCAGGGAAACCACCAAGAAAGATGACTTTCGCTAAACGGGAAAAATGGAAGTTTTGATCAATCTTCATGTCTCACTGTGAAGGGAATGACATGGAGCCAATAATAGGGTGTGGAGCATTCTGATGAATTCAGGCGCCACCAGTGAGCTTCCGGCGGTAGGATGGGTTCCCATTTACCCTCTACAAGAACCATGGGTGGGGGGGGGATTCAAATCCCCACACCACCCATCCAAACCAACACTGAAGCGTTACTTGAACCAGAACACTGCTTCTCAGCGGTGAGCTAAGAGCTGCAAAACGCCGGACAAGTCGAGGACCAGTTGCACGTGGGAGTGAGTGGTGTGGCAGACACCTTGGACTCACTGCTTCCAAAATGATTACCTGCAAATCCCAAGGCAGTTACTGGTTCCCAACCTGGAGAAGATGGTTCATTAAGACCTTACATGCCCCCCGGCGATTGTTCCCCATATCCTCATCAAGTCAGCCTAGATCGGGCCTTCCAGGGCATCGATCCGATTTCTTGATCCGACGGCGAGAGGCTGAGAGCGCAAGTGTTGGGAACGGAAGGCGCAGCTCCTCTCGCATTGCAGAGAGCCCCAGTTACTGGAGGCAAAGAATGGAAGCCGTCACCGGGCGGGTCGCTCATGTCCTATGCCTAGCAAAAAAAAATCGGCCCGCTATGCATGCGCTCTGGAAGGCGATGCTTTGCATAGTCCATGCAGTGCAGACAATTTTGCGACGGCCAGGGGGCATCATACCAATCCCCTTGCCGATTCGGGACTCCCGGCAAATTCTGCGGGTGATTCTTTGTGCGACGGCCCAACCCGGATGAGTCTGACATGTTCAAGGCCGACTCTGAAACTCCGCCTGGTCAGTCGGGGTGGCATCGAGCAATCTGAGGCTCGAGGCTAAGACCCCAGAGTCGGAGGGGTCAAGTAAGGGTTCCACCTTGACCCCAGGGTAGACTTGAACTCGGGAGTGGTTCATTCCCCCAGGATAATTTCTGGGTTTAAGTGCATTTGGTCCGAAAAACTTTGGGTCAACTCGATTCAGCGAAATCCTCCTCCGCAATTTCCCCGCCGGCCTGGTTCACAGCGCTCGGTGCTTTTTTTCGCGCTGTGACTCCGTGGGGGCCTTGGCTTGGGTGGAGAACATGGGAGGACCGGAACGAATACCCCAACGAAGTCTCATTTGGGTATGTGTCAAGTTTTTTACCACCAGACAACCGCAGGTTTTAGTCCTTCTTTCCATTTAACAGGGTTCCATTTGTGGTTCCTATTTTTGACCCACAGCCATTGGTCTGAGCATGGAGGTCGGACCAGCTCAGAGTTCCGAAGACACTTCGCCGGACCTGTTCCGTTAACGGACAGGCAGGCGCACGAAACCAGGAAAGATACTCCGGGCTGTTGAGCAAGCGCGGAGAGGCTGGGGGCCTCATCCCCTTGTGGCTGGTTTTTGCAAGGCTATTCCAGGAATGGTAAGGAGAGGTGCACACAGACACGCCATGTCATATGCAAGCATATCGAGTCAAAGGGTTGTGAACACCCGAATACTTTGGAAGCACGAGAACCCTGAAAAGAACGGTATGTGTGCTGATGGCTTTGCTAAATCCACCCAGAAAAGTTGAGTATGCAGATGGGTGTTTTTTGAGGGACTGGCCCGTTTCGGGCGGAATCATCATGGAGATCTAAAGTGCAGACCCATATAATCTCAAGTACTCGGGCTCTTCCGTGCACCACCTCCCTACCTGATCCGTATTTTGTCGCTGTGGACCAGGAACAACCATGCGTGTGTTGTTTCCTAAAGGAGGGGGACTCATTTGGTTGATTTCTTTCTGGTTTCGCTTTGAGCATCCAAAAGGGCCTGCAATTGTTATACTCACCCTTACATCATTGCACCCCAGCCCTTCTAGGCCATGTGCAAACCGGAACACGTGGCATCCAATCATAGATCTGCGCTCTGCGCAATTTTAGGGAAAGCCAAAATAAGGTGTCCTTTTTTCACTTCCCTTTACAACCCTCCAAAGCATGGCCAAAAACAGTAGTTATGGGCATTATAGCCGATCTAGAGTTCCCCAAAAGCTTGTGGCTTTTGCTTTCTGTCCATTGAGGGCCCCGCCCAAAGGAGGCACAATACTGTGGAGGTTTTCTTGGTGTTTCCCTTTAAACTCACTCACTCACTCAAGTTCGCACGGGGCCTCTGTGGGCGCAGCTGATTTTTTTCCCCCAAAACGGGGGGGATCAGGCCCTTTACGCCACAAACAAGGGTCCCCAAAAACGACGACGCCCCGGAGCCTCTGTGCCTCCGATGTTTGAGTCGCCGAGGTTTGGGCTTTCGATGCGCCGGGCGTAGGCGTAGGCAGGGCGTCTCCTCCAAAGCGGCTCTGAGTTTTCATGCGGAACCCCTCTCCTTGGTGGACAGAAATCCCAACCGAATTCTGATGTCCACCAGCGGGATGTTATGCACCAAAGTTACGGGGCTTTAGAAAAGCTCTGTGTCAAGTATGGAGCAGCAGATGTCATTTTTACCCCAGATTTTGGCCAAGATGAGATGTCAGAAGGAAGCCTCTCAACTAATAGTTGATTGACATGAGTCGTCATGTGCGTGAATGCTGTCCACCAATACGGTCCTCGATTCCAAAACAAATTCCGTGTGGATGTTTCAAGCGAACTTCAATCTCCCTTTGGATAGTTTGTAAAGGGACGCCACAAGGGACTCGGCATCTTTTTAAGAACCAAGTGTGTGAGTGTAAGTGTGTGTGTGTGTGTGTCTGTGTTGAGTGGGATGGCTGCGCAAGGATTCATGGCCACCATGAAACTCAACGTCCAGTGGGACAATCGAATGGATGGCCAAAGGAAGGGTGTGACATGGGCCATCTGGTTTTGTAGGATTGGCGTTTCTCAAAATTGGCCCATTTGACTTCCCTTTACAACCCCTTTCCAAAAAGGGGTCTGCCATTTTGAGAAGCCCCCAGATGAAACCAGCGCCAAAGGCCCAACTGCCAACATGCCTCGAGGCTTTGGTTCGCTTTGGGTGCTCTCAGGATGGCCGAGCTACGGACACAGCCTCGCCCTGAGGTTATCGAGAAGCTGCCAGCGTCTCGTGGTAGGATTTCGGTGTCAACAATCCTTGTAAGGCTGACCTTTTACCCTTTTTTGGAGGGAGGGTGCCCCAACTAGAATGGATTGCAGAAAGAAAGGGTACCCTTATTCTAACCTCTCTACAGGATGACCTAGATGACATCCTGTAGGATTGCTGCTAGCCATCAGCATGCCATGCTTTGTAAGTTCTGATTCAATCCCGAATGCAACTGAATATTCGAAAAACAAAAAAAAAAAAAAAACAAAAAAAACACAAAAAAACCTTCGCACATTTGTGATGAAGGAACGCCATTGCTGACTGCCTTAATTGCCGGACATTGCTTACTGGAAACAGCTCAAAGTGATCCACTGTTCTGTTTGTATAGGTGACTTTGTCGAGATGGCACGATCCTAAGGCTGGGCGAGGATGACGACGACGACGAGCCGGAATACTTGCAATTTAAGGCAAGTTCTCTGTTTCAGGAGACTGCATTCCTCAATGTTAGGCTCCGATGTGGAGATGTCTCACAGAAAGGGCCAGTGAAGCAAGTCGTTTGAAGGGGTGTTGACCGTGTGTGTGTGCATGTTCCGCATATTTGGCAACTGAGGATGAATGATGATAACGATGATGACGGTGGCGATGATGACGATGATGACGACGATGATGATGATGATGATGATGATGATGATGATGACACAAGACTTGTTTACCGTAGAAATAGTCACCCCTGTAGATGGTGTTGAAAGAACCCTCAAGTTCATTCAAGAGCAATGTTGCCACTTGTACTGCTTCACTATTTCAGGGGACACCCATCTCACATCCGGGCGCCTCATATTCCATCCCGACATGGTTAGCAAAGGTTCTCAGTTGTATGGGAAGGGGCCAACTCGCTGGTGGCTCGCATTCTTTTGGCTGCCCAGAGATTTTGAGGCCCAGATTCCTCGTGAATCCACCCGCTGGGCCCGTCTCTTTCGGTCTGTCCTACACAAGGGGAACAACCGCTGAGGTTTCCCTTCAAGCATCCGAAAGGGGGATCTTTATGTAAACCAGTTGATCAGGTGATCCTCCTTGGCGATGGCGCCGTCGGCAAAACTTCCTTGGCGACGCGGTTCTGCGAGGACCCGCCCTTGTGTTCGACCCCCACTTTTGTGCCGTGTGTGGGAATAGTGCTCAAAGCCCCAAGCAGCGAGCAGAGAAACGCTTAGGGTGGTGGGGATTGACAAGTGAAAAATCTACGATGCAAATCCTTTATTTACTCTTGTCGTTGAGGCCCTCACTCCCGTGCCGGCGCGCAAGATATGTGTATGTTCTCAAGGAATTCGGAATGGAATCCTCCGTTTTACACGCTCTAGAATGCGCTCAGTATGACAGTAGATGCAAGATGCAACCCACCAGCAGAATGGAGGGCAGCGCCATCAGCATCGGTAGGCGGATTAGCAGATCGCAGAGCTCATGCAGGCTGTTCCGCCTTGGAACTTGCCTTCATCAACCCTCCCATGTCTTCCTGCATGCTGAGGGATTGCTGAGGTATGTTGGAGGGTTCTTGGATGTCCAAACAAATACAACGCAGCCTTCAGCTGAAGTCTGAAGGCATGCTTTGCATGGCCTTGACATGACCCAGGGCGAGCACATTGATGTGTTGAGAACTCTCGTTCATGCGTAGGGGCAGATCAGTTACCTCCGCCGGAGATGCTTGAGAGGCGACCTCAGTCACGAGGTCGGCTTGGCATGTGAAAGTCACCTACAAAACTTCCCCGAGAGCACGGCAAATTCGCGCGACAAACATCGCGCCAAGCCTGAGAGGTGTCAAAGCCAAGAGCAAGCAGAATCAGGAGAAAATCGACTGGGATTGCTGGGCACTGAAATTGGGTCGCTTCTAGCTGTAAATACGTGGCGTTCTGCCCGAAGACAAACACTCGTGCGAGCAACGTGAGTCGCAGACAAGTTGCGCTAAAAATGGGCGAGTCTGGGCTCTGGAGGGCGGCCGCCAAAGGCAACGGAAACTCAGATCGGGACTGACCCGATGCAAGAACAGATCCCACCAGGGGACCTTCTTGAGGGCTTCTGGGCATTTCCACTCCTCGCGCCTCATGTAGCATCCGATTGTGGAGCCCATGTGTTACCCATTGAGAGTTATGCCGTGGCTAGACTCCCTCAGGATCATTTCGCCAAGCAGTACAAGCAGACCATCGGCCGCCTGGCGGCAAGTTTGGTGACCCCAAAGGGAGAGAGGATGAGCAGCTGGCTTCCATGTTAGCCGGGTATCCCAATTTCACCGGACTGAGGTAGACGGGTGCTGCGTGCCCTTTGGGAGAGATGTTGGGGTCCTGTTTTGTGCCAAAGAGGGGGTCCAGCTCGTGTTTCTGAATTACACACCCTCCGCAAAATGCGTGGTTAGCGACTCCGAAAAGGGGGGTCCCGCATCTGGGGTCCCCAGAAAAGGGAAATGCGCCCGTCCCGGTTGTTTGAGCTGAGAGGATCCTGGAATGAGTGAATATGGGTCTATCTTTTTCTTGATAAGCCTCTTTTTGGTGGCTGAAGGGAAACTAGAAGGAACACCAGGCATTTTGTAGGTCCCCTAAAAAAGGGCATATGCCTCAATCCTAGGTTCGGCTCACTGGTGGGCAATCCTAGGGATGGAACGGTGTTTAAACCAATTTCTTTGTTTAGTAATAAGCTCACTTGAATCGAGCTCACCCACAAAAGCGTCCGCCTTGTGCAGGCATCGTATTTCAGATTGTGCAATTGCAAGATGAACGATCGGGTTTGTCTTTTTTGATTGTGCAGTTTTCGGGGGTTGGGTTTGAAAGGACACCCAAAAAACTCGACCCATGTTGGCTCCTTCACTTGGAGGCAATCCCGAATTTGCTTGCCGCGTTCGTTCGCAGCGGGCCACAGGGAGCCCCAGATCTGAACGCAAGACCCAAACAAAAACCCTTCCAACAATCATCGAAAGCTCATCTTCGCCTCTGCTGGGGAAGATCCCCACGGGTGTGGATTGTGAGGCACTCATTTTAGGTTTGGTGAAAAGGACGCCCAAAGGAAAGCCACTATTTTGGGGCTGCGTCTGGCTTGACTCAAGCCCAAGTCGACCTTGTGACCTGTTCTCCTTCGTGTCGTGGCGCCAAAGGCTTAGCCTTTTAACTGGACGGTGTCCTTGGGTCTGGGGATTTTTGTATTACACCCTGGGATTACACCCTGGGGACATGACCCAGAATGGTTCAACATAACACGTTTCTCTCTGGAAATGTGCCTAAATGGGGTCAATACCCAGTGGGTGTATTCCCAAATTCTTAATACAAAAACCCTTAGATTGGGGCAAATGAGTCCTGGACTTCTTTGGTCTCAAGTGAATGAAGCAACGACTCGGATGCTTGCCGGCGGGTCCTCAATAGCGTCAGAAACAAGGCGAACCATGGCACTCCGCTGCAGATTTGCAGGAACTTTAGGGACCCATTCTTGGGTTTCATGATGCACGAGAGGATGTATGTGCTGGTTGTTTCCGGGCCGGGATCCAAGGACGGAATTCGGGTGCCTTGAATGGCCCCTGCCCTGAACTGTTGACATCTTCTTTCTGTTGAGGAATCCCGTTGGGGCAATGGGCGGTTGGCCGCCGTTTTCTTCTCCCCGATGGGTAGCTTCCCACATGAGTTCCCAACTCGTCCGTGCCTCAGGCTTTTCTTTGTATAGCACCATATTTCACTGATTCTGTTGGTGGCTTTCTCAGGACCCCTCCAGAGGCTTGCTTTCATGTCGTGGCTTGAAACTCATCAAAGAGGACCCCCGCCTTTCTCTAGACCCTGGGTTCCCTTGATGAAGCCAAACAGTCGTAAGATGAAGTCATCTTTGGGCCCAAAGTGCTGTTCGGAGCGAGTGGAAAATCTTGCCCAGGTCTTGACTTCTTCGTGAAGCGAGTTGTCCTTCCCGGTGACATCCATGCGGCACGGCTGCTGTTTCAGCGAGGGGATCGAGCAAGCCCCATTCCGTGCGACGATCTTGAAACCATATCCTTTCAGGTACTGCTTTTGCAGCCAGCTGGTAGTGGTGGTGTTTGGATCCCTGCCTTTTGTCAAGGCTTGGTGCCATGGCGGGGAATCGCTTCCATCGGAATGAACATTTGTGTCCTGTGGGTGTGGGTCAATTTAAAACCACCAGGAATCGGACCGCAGGTTTTAGTCCTTCTTTCCATTTGCCAGGGTTCCATTTTGGGGTTACCCTGTTTTTGACCCCCAGCCATGTTTCTGGAAATTCTCGATGGGAGGGGAATTGGTGTCCAGGAACCCTAGCTGTCCGTTGCATTCCGATTGCGGGTGCCAACCGGTTGATGGCCAGTTCGCATAAGCCAAACCATATTCGAAGAAGAAGTCGGATCGCACCGTCAAAGAGTCAAACAGAGCGAATGTCTATAAAGTGTATTGTCGGACAGTGGGCGGCAAGGGGCCTTTGGAGTGGCTCGTGTTTCAGCAAGGACTCTGAGTTGGCTGGCTTGGGTTGGGTTGGGTTGGGGGGTTCGGTTGGTTGGGGTGGTTGGTTTGGAAGGGAAGGAGACCAAGCTTTGTCCCGCAAGACATGAGGCTCCATGTTGGGTTGCTGAGTTCAAGCCAGCCAAGTTGACTCAGGGAAGAGATCTTTGGGCCTTGTCAAGATTGACTTTGAGGTGGCTTTGAGCCGATGTTTTTTCCCAGCCATTTGGAGCAAGTTTACTTTGACCATTGACTTCACCTTTGCCTTTGGGGTTCGTTTATGCAGAGGGAGGGTTCATTTCCTCACCTCATCCCTCGAAAGCAACTGAAAACTCCCGTATCACAGCAGCGAATCTATTTGAGTGTTTCTCAGAATGGTCGACCCACTGTTGGTTGCTATCTAAAGGAAAACCCAAAGGGAGTCCAGCATTTTAGGAGGGACTACTTCTTCGAGAAACACAAACTTGGCCATTTGGGTATGTCCCAAAATTGGAAAAGGACTGGCACTTTTTGTTCCACAGGTGGACAGAGGTGCAGCGGTGAGCCAGGCAATCCTCGTTGCAATCGCGTATTTGGTATATTGAACAGTATTATTTTGCAGAGTATCAGGTAACCCTCAATTTGTGGTTTGGATTGGTGGCTTGGCGATTGAAGCCCCTGCCTTTTCAGGGAAAATTGGACAACCAAACCACCGGGCTCGAAACCACCCTTTTTGCGGGAGAAGTCGACAAATGGAAGCTGGGAGCTGCTGCCCCGAGTTCCGGTGGGAAGCACCGAGGAAGGTGCACGCCCCGTGTTTCTCCGGGGAAACCGGGGGGGGGGGAGTTGGCTCCTCCTTTTGGTTCGGGTTCCGCTCCGTTTCCTCCGGGGAATTCGAACTCGGCTCAGGTATGCTTGCAGATCTGGGACATTGGAGGCCAGTCGATCGGCGGAAAGATGCTGAGCAACTACATCTACGGCTCCAGCGCAGCCCTGCGCTGAAAGACAAAGCCTTGGCTGGTTCCATAGGGGCGTGTGGCTCAAAATTAACGTGCCAGGTTTGCGTAGGCTTTAGTCGTTGGTTCCATTTGCGCAGGGGCCATTTTGGTACATGTTCTTGAGCCACGGCTATCAACCGGGGTTTTCGGAATGCACCGGAAGAAGATTCCCTTGAAGCCTCACTTTCTGAGACCCAGCAGGCTGAGCTGAGATCTCGTTACATACTTTTCCCCCAAAAAAGAAAAAAGCACACCCGGAGAGAGCCTGGGTTTCTACATGGGCGCCTGGGTCAAAGAGCCAACCGTCCCTTGCTCTGGGCGCCTTTCGTTGAGCCTTGGACCGAGGTGGTGCTGTGCTACGACATCACCAACTACCAAAGTTTCCAGCACTTGGAGGACCCGCCAACACGGCCAAAACGGCGCTTGTTGCGCCTTTTTGTTGCCGGAGGCGACTTGCCGAGCTTTGAGATTTTTGTGAGATGCTGCCCTCAAGACCCCTGAAAATGGCTGCACCTTGAGAGCGACCCGAAGGACTGTAGGAGTGAGGACGTGAGAAAATGCTCCGCTCCCCTTCAAGTCCGACCCCCCTTTTAAATCTTTGAATAACGAACAAACTCATCACAAGGCCACTGCTTTCGACAGCCCCACATCATGAGATTGGCCAAGGATGGGTTGAAGCCATCCCCTGCAGGATTGGTTGTTTCTTGTGAAGCGCACCTTCAACAAGAGCCCCATGCCGTGCGCCGACTCTTTTTCCGCAGTGAGTTGAGAAAGGGACAGCGGAAGCTCCGCGATGGAAGAAGCAAGGGGCCTTGGATTATCCAGGGACTCCGCCTTCTTCGTGTTTTTTTAGGATTAATTGACATGATGTTAATGGGACGATCCCAAACCTGGACTCATAGCTCCGTTCGCAGCATGTGATTCAGACCGTCCCTCCGCGGC